ACAGTGCCTCAACCGCTTTTATGCAGGGTGATTCCACGATGCAGGCGATCTCTGAACGGCACTGCAGGGGTTGAAGTATTCCCGACCAAGCTAGTAGGGTGATTTTCAATCGGTGACTTTAATTCACCCTGCTCAGTGTGGTTTCCGCAGGTGCCACACAAGGAAGGAAATTGAAGTAATTCATTCCTTCCACCTGCTCCCAAACAAAAACATGCATTTTTTTTAACCAAATACGGCCTGTCCTTGAAACCTATGCATATTTCTTATATTCGAATTGTGCTTTAAAGTTTTAAGAGCTGCTCTGAAAGCCTAATATCACATGCTGTAAATGTTTGAGCTGTTATAAAACAATAGTAATATATTTTAAATAAAAAAAATTAGAAACAGAGCAGTGCAAATAATATGGTAACATTTGTGTAATAAAAATACATATTGAGGCCGGGTGTGGTGGCTTATGCCTGTAATACCAACACTTTGGGAGGCCGAAGCGGGCGAATTACTTGAGGTCAGGGGTTTGAGACCAGCCTGGCCAACATGGCGAAATTCCGTCTGTACTAAAAATACAAAAATTAGCCGAACGTGGTGGTACTCGCCTATAATCCCAGCTACTCAAGAGGCTGAGGCAAGAGAATCGCCTGAACCTGGGAAGCGGAGGTTGCAGTGAGCCAAGATTATGCCACTACACTCCAGCCTGGGTAACAGAGCGAGACTCCATATTAAATAAATAAATAAATACTAAATACTATACAAGAAACTAGTAACAGTGACTACCCCTGGGAGAGGGATTGCAGGTAGGAAAGGGCAAGAAGTTTCAAAGTCTGCCAACTCTAATAAACATTTTTCAGTGATAGAAATGTCCTGTAGCTTTCTGTGGCTATTGCCTTCATCAAATGTGGCTACTGAAATCAAGAAAATGAATTTTTAACTTTATTAATTTTAATTAATTTAGTCACATACGGCTAGTGGCTACCATATCGGAGAGTGCAATTATACTATTGGAATTTTTTTTCTTTATACAAATATTACCTTTAAAAGTCAAAACAGACTATATTGTATTCCTAACAATACATATTGTGAGTGGTGGCTTCAAGGAGTGTATTGTCTCTGTGTTATAGCCAATAGAAAGTAAATAACAACCAAGACTGGTGGCTCACGCCTGTAATCCCAACACTTTGGGAGGCCAAGAAGGATGAATCATGAGATCAGGAGATCGAGACCATCCTGGCTAACACGGTGAAACCCCATCTCTACTAAAAATACAAAAAATTATCCAGGCGTGGTGGCACGTGCTTGTAGTCCCAGCTACTCAGGAGGGTGAGGCAGGAGAATCGCTTGAACCCGGGAGGTAGAGGTTGCAGTGAACTGAGATCGCACCACTGCACTCCAGCCTGGACAACGGAGCAAGACTCTGTCAAAAAAAGAAAGAAGAAAGAAAAAAGGAAAGGAAAGTAAGAAAATAAATAACAATCATTGACACTTGGGTCTTGCTTGTTATGTGCTAGGTATTGTTCTAGGTGCTTTTCAGACATTAACTCCCTTCATCCTCCCAGCAACCTTATGAGGTAGGCACTATTATTAATCCCACTTTTACAGAGGAAGTATGCACAGAATGATTAAGGCAGTAGCTAAAGTCACCTAGCCAAGAAGTGACGAACTGGGATATTCTGCAGGCATTCAACTCAGCCATTTGACTCACTCTGTGCAATTAACTACAACACTGTGTCTTATACAGGCAATTGGCCAAATCACAAAAATACCTATAAATTTCCATCAAGGGGGGAACACAAATGATATTGGGGAAGATCCATCTACAAAGATACACTATTAATCCATAATCACTACTTCAAATAAAAATATCTGTGTGTTAATAGATTTGAAATAAATCTAGTTAATAAAAGGAAAAAATGTGTGGATTTCTTTACGGGCAATCATTTGCCTAACCTTTTGGTTTTCCAATGTCCCCTACCTCTTATCTCCTACCTGCTAGCATTCTCACTGTCCTAGTTGAAGATGGATTAGTCCATTCTCCCTACTTTCCATCCCAAAGTCTTTCTGAATATTTCAGATATCAGCCACCTGGACATCTCTAAGTCCTCTAAATGTCTTTAACTGTCCTTCCATAATGTTTCAGTGTCACCTCACTAAGCATTGATGTGAGAAATGTAGTGCCTGTTCCAGGACTTCTGCAGATTACTCAGAGACTTATGCTCCTAAGTTAGCTCCACCAAGGAACACTGTTCCTTTTCCTGCTGGTAATTTCTGAGAATTCACTGAATAAGATGATTACATGACCTCAACAGAGAGATACACATGAAAAGCCACACTTAGATTCACTGCCTCATCCCTTAATTTCCTACAATACCATGAACATATCTGTAATAGACTCTTACTGAACGTTTAAAATTAATGAGGTGGAATTATCATTTAAAAAATTGATTGGAGGGCCGGGCACGGTGGCTCACACCTGTAATCCGAGCACTTTGGTAGTCCGAGGCTGGCAGATCACATGAGGTCGGGAGTTCAAGACCAGCCTGACCAATATGGAGAAATCCCATCTCTACTAAAAAATACAAAAAAAAATTAGCCAAGCGTGGTGGCGCATGCCTGTAATCCCAGCTACTCAGGAGGCTGAGGCAGGATAATTGCTTGAACCCAGGAGGCGGAGGTTGCAGTGAGCGGAGATCACGCCATTGCATTCCAACCTGGGCAACAAGAGCGTAACTCCATCTCAAAAAAAAAAAAAAAATTCGATTGGATGCTAATATAAGTGTTCCCAGAGACCAAAGAAAATTGACTATTTCATGAGAATCTCACCCCAGTTTCTAGCCTTGGTTCCCAGTTTCAAAGTCAACCATTCTATTTTTCTTACACGGCATACCTCAGGAACAGATGAGGTCATAATTTCCTTGCTCTTCAAACTATTATCTCTTTTTATCCTCTTCAGGATTTCAGGAGTGATTGGGGCTGTGATGTTGTTGTTTCCCATAACTCCTTCTTATTCACGAAGATTTTACATCTGACTTCAAGACTTTATCTTCATCTCAATTCCTCTCATTATTCTGATCTCTTAGTTGTTTGACTGTCATGCCCAGTGACCTTCTCTTCCATCCCACTTCGGCCATCCACTTCTATAGTCACACCTTGGAACTTTTCTTCACCAGAAATTACCACATCCACAATTACAGTGCTAACACCTCACTCTCGAGACAACTTTCAGTTCTTCTGGCTCACTTGCAAAAATACCCCTTATAAATAATCCTGTGAGTTAACTGAGATGCCAGTCCACTGAACCACCATGATCTATTCATCACCTCCCTCTAGAATTCAGTTGCCATATTACCCAGCTTAGACTCAATAGTTTATCCTTACAATCACTCCCTTGAAAGTATTCTGACCTCCCATCTTCCTCTGCCTCTTTTGCACTTGCCTGGCAAAACCCCAACATGGGATTATACCCAACTTCCACCAGTTGGATTAACATGTGGTGAGATCTTCAGCTTTTTAAAAGAGAAACTGGAAATCTAGATTTTTATATGAAATCTCCCTGTTTTAAAACTAAAATTAAGGGTTGGCACCATACTGCACTAAGTATGGATATGCCTGAGGCAGAAACTACATACTTTTAGTTTATTACCTCTGCTTTAAAGGTACTCCATTGTTCGAGACCAGCCTGACCAACATGATGAAACCCCGTCTCTACTAAAAATACAAAATTATCAGGGCATGGTGGCAAACACCTGTAGTCCCAGCTACTCAGGAAGCTGAGGAAGGAGAATCACTTGAACCTGGGAGGCAGAGGTTGCAGTGAGCCAAGATGTGCCATTGTACTCCAGCCTGGGCAACAACAGTGAGACTCTGTCTCAAAAAAAAAAAAAAAAAAAAAAAAAAAAAAGCCAGGGCAGTACCCCATTGTTCTTCAAGTAAAATCAAAACTCCTCAGGTTCACACGCAAGGCCCTGCATAATCTAGACCCTGCCTGTCTCTCCAACTCATCTTTCCTACTCCCTACTTCATTCATTATGCCTCAAACATACGGACCTTTTCTCTGTTCTTCACAATGCTAGATTCACCCTTGTCTGAAAGCCTTTATACTCACTGCTCCCTCATCCTAAAATACCCTGATCCTTCTGCCATTACATTTCCCCACAGCCCCTCACCACCACCACCATCACCAAGTTGCCTCATTATCCTTCAGATCTCATTTTAAACATCATATCCACAAGAGGTGTTTTCTAGCACTCTCTCAAGTAAGTCTGCACCATCCATGACACAAATTTATAATTTTAGGATTGATATGCCTTTTTTCCCTCTTTCTCCCCCACTAGTCTATAGAACAGGGACTGTGTCCTTTTTACTATGTCTCTGTGTCTATGACTGAATACCTACTGTTGAGCATAGTTCCTGACACATAGGAGAGTCTAATTAAGTATTAGCCAAATGAAAGAGATACTTTTCAATTATCTAAACTGCAAAATGTCTACCATCCTCCCTTCTCTTCTAGGATAAGTCCATTTTTGTCCTCATCCTCTTTCATTCCATTCCCTTCCATTCTCTACAGCCATTAGGGAGAGCGGAGGTAGTAATTTGAATCCACACTAAGAATTAAAGAGTACCAGTAAAGGTAACTAAACAAATAAATATAAAATACAGTACAAATGTTTTTGTTTATAGTTCTTCCTTCTCCTATATGATCTAAAGGGCAACTAGAATAAAACCATAATCATAAAACTGGGTAGATGGGCTTATAATAAAGATATAATTTGAATGGCAATAATAGCTCAAAGGATTGGGGGAGGGAACAGTTATATTGGAGCAAAGTTTTTGTATCTATTAAAATTAAGTTGATATTAATCTGAACTAGACTGTTTTAAGATATTAATTGCAATCATTACAGTAACCACTAAGAAAATAACTCTCTGTAATTACTAGAGTAACCACTAAGGAAATAACTCACAAAATTGTCATCACTAGAGCAACCACTAAGAAAACAACTCACAAAACCACTAAGAAAAGGAAAAGAAGGCCGGGTGCAGTGGCTCATGCCTGTAATCCCAGCACTTTGGGAGGCAGGTGGATCATGAGGTCAGGAGTTCAAGACCAGCCTGGCCAAGATGGTGAAACCCCATCTCTACTAAAAATACAAAAATTAGCCAGGCCTGGTGGTGGGCGCCTGTAATCCCAGCTACTCGGGAGGATGAGGCAGAAAATTGCTTGACCCTGGGAGGCAGAGGTTGAAGTGAGCTGAGATCACGCCACTGCACTCCAGCTTGGGCAACAGAGTGAGACTCCATCTCAAAAAAAAAAAAAAAAAAAAAGGAAAAGAAATAAAAAGGTAATTCATTTGGCCCATTAGAAAATATCTTTTAACACAAAGGAAGGCAATAACCCACAAACACTGTCCGCCCTCGTCAGGGAGCAAAGGTTTATGATTCCTACGAATACTATCATTAACCTATCTTCAACTACTCTAATTTTGCCTCGCTGGGTATTTCTTATTCTCTTTTCTCTACTAACACATACATGGTATCTCTCCCATACAACCTTCTAAAACACTATTGTAAAAATTGATCATATGGATTGGAATAATTCCTGTCATATTCAACTAAATCAGAATCAAGAGACCAGGGGTAAAAAGCCCCAAGGCACAAAGCAGTTCCTCTAGGAACAGTCTGGCAGCCTCTCCTCAGCTTCTGAAACAGCATATTATAACCTTAAGACTAGTTTTACCTAATAGCTGCCAAAACAACCTGAGACTAAGTAATTTGCAGTTTTTGCCATTACTTTCAATGGCAATTACTTTTACCTACCGCCCTCACTCAACCATCAGAGCTTGCCAGCTCCCAAAGACTTCGCCAGCACCAATTAACTCTTTCAAAACATTTTATGTTACATTTCTCTTTCCCAATAAAACCTCAACATTTTCCTTTTTTTTTTTTTTTTTTT